AGGGTTCATAGCATAAGAGTAAATCTTTCTCTGCCATGTAAGGAACCACGAGGTGGGGAAATGATAATACAACAACAGAGACAAACAAAAGGAGGGAGGGTCATCGAAAATGGAGGTCTCCAAACCTTGCAGAAGCGCCTCTGCAGCCAAGCGGTCAGCAACACACGAACGTTGGGAAATGATAATACGGATAAAGGGCAGCAAGGCTCTTTTGTCATTTTTAAAAAACAAGGATATTTTTGTAATATCACTTTTTTTTTCCATCAATATTTTACCAAAAGCCAAACATAGATTTTACAAAAGTTACCTAATTTTCCCAGTAAATTTTTTTCCTACCAAACAACTTTTTTTACATTTTCCTATCAAACTCACTTCCCAACCATTTTCCTACTAATCACATTTTCCTATCATTCATAAAAAAAATTCCTCAACCAAACACCCCCTAGAAAGAAAATTGTCCCCTAAATTGGATAATGTTTGAACCGAATTAGTTTTGGTAATCACAAAACAGTGAATTTATAATAAAAAAATAAAAATTTCAGTTACAGTTAATTAGAGTTATGACATACCTGAACTGCCTTTACAGTTAAAGCTACGCAAACCTCTTCCCCTGTGTCTTGGCCACAGCCATAGCAGAAGCAGTTACTTTTGAGAACCCCACTAACTTGGGCTCGAAATCTTCAATTGCAAGATCCTCAAACTTGGGTTCAGAACTCGGAAACATGGGGATATTCTTCGGTGCACGTTTGCTCATCTTTGCTGAGTTGAAGTGAGTGACAAACAAGGATTTAGGTTGTATTTATAATGTTATAAATCAGACAAGGAAATTTTGTTCAGTAATAGTATTACTTGAGTCAGTTGATCACCTAATTTTATTTGTTTTATTTACCCTTTTGTGGTTAGTGTCATAGTCTCACTTATTTTTATTCTATCCCGTTTTGGTTAATTGGACAGGAGTATGAATTAGAGGTGGCAAAGTAGGCGGTCCGCCCCGCCTCGCCTCACCCCGCTATCAACCCGTCAAAAAATGAGTCAGCCCGCCCCGCCCCGCTTTTGAAAGTGACTGAAAAACTCAACCCGCCCCGCCCCGCCCCGCGGGTTGGGCGGGTTAGTCTGCCAGCCTGAGCCTATTTTACACTGACCCGCCTCGGCCTGTGCCAATGCCCGCCGTCAACCCACCAAAAAATGAGCCTGTCTCGCCCCGCCCGCTTTTGAGATGGGTTGAAAAACTCAGCCCACCCCGTCCCGTTTGACGGGTTGAGTGGGTTGGTCGTCCCGTTTGACGGGTTGAGTGGATTGGTCCGCCGAGCCGAGCCCGTTTTGCTGACTCTAGTATGAATTGACAATGAAAGACTTGTTCTTCAAGTTCATCCACTTGTTTTTATTTTATTTTATTTTTTTTTAATTTTCTTGTCCAAAATTGTATTGGGCACATTTTTAATTGAAGAATGATCTATGAGGGCATCAGGCCCAAATGGCCAAAACGTAAAAAGTCTTCCCAAGCACTTTGTCATGATCCAAAGCAACAGCGGCTCAAATAGATGTGTCCTTCACATGCAGTCCAATTTTTAAGTACTCCGTAGTCCAAGCCTCTCTTGATTTGTGTCCTAAAATGTGAATGGCTTGAAACTTTATAGCAAAATTATTTGGATGGAATCTTAACTGTAGTAGTAAAAGACCTACCCTAGTTAGGTAACTCCTATCTATCACGCCTTTAATAAATTGCACTCTATTTTGCCTTTTGTATTCTTATTTTTCATAAATTCAACTCATATGACCTACACCACTAATGTTGCATCTAGTTGCTCCATTTTTTTTTTCTCTGTTGGCTATTGTTTTCTCCGATCCAAAGCATTTTTAAAGAAGTCATATATGTTTTATACACACATATATATATGGATCCAAATTCTTAACGAGTCTGATTAATTTGATTTCGGATTTGAGCTCACGTCGGAGTTGCAACTCTTCAAAATTCAAAATTATTACCTTTTGGATTGGTTAAATCTCGAAATATAAAAATCAACAACTCTTGAATGAAGAGATATATTTTTGGTTCTCTTAACTGGCCTATATTATAATACATTTGTCTTTAGGGAACTACTTTCACCAAAAGAAGACTTTAGTGATCTACTTAATCAAATTATATGGATATATGTATTTGCAGTAGTTAAAGTTAATTAAAGAGTTCTAAGAACCTATTTGAATCAGTATTTTTTATTCTTCAAAAGTTATTTTTTCTCACAGAAAAAAAATACTTTTCAGAAAAAATTTGTTTGGATACATACTTTAAAAAAAAAAACAGAAGTTATAAAAAAAAAAGTTAAAAACCTATTTTTTCTAAAGTTAAAAATTTTATCTTCTAAAAAAATAAAAATTAAACGTCAAATATTTTTAAAAAAATCTAAATAATTTAAAATTTATAAAAAGTACTTTTAAAATGAATAAGACAAAAAAAATTTATTTTTCTAGAAACCGATACAAAATCCTGCCCAGTGTCCAACTTATCAAAGTCATCAATTAAGATAGAGGAAGTAATCAAAAAAGTTAGACAAGACTGCAAGACTCAGTAATCCTATTCTTTAGAAAAGACCAATTGTCACAAGGCAAATAATAGACAAAATGCCTTTTCAAATTTTCTTGGTCCATCATGCTTGCAGTCGTTTGGGCTTTAAAAAAATAATTTTTATCTTTTTCTTATTTTAAAAGTATTTTTTACAAAATTTAAAAATTATTTATATTTTTATAAAAATATTTAATTTTTAAAAAAAATATTTGACTTTTGACTTTTTTAAAAGATACAATTTTTAGTTTCTAATTTATTTTTTTCGTGACTTCTGCTTTTTTAAAAAAAGACATCCAAACAAATTTAGAGTGAGAAGTATTTTTTTTCCCTTTAGGGGATATTTGGTAGAGGATACTTTTTTTTACCAAGGAAATACAATTACTAGAAATTTGGTGAGAAAATGAGTTTGACAGGAAAGTTAAAAAAAAGTTGTTTGGTTTTCTATCAAACTCATTTTCCCACCAAATTTTTAATAGTTGTATTTCTCTAGTAAAAAAAAAAAATATCCTCTACCAAACATTCCCCGAAAAAAAGCAACTTTAAAGAAGAAAATGCCTATCTAAACTGGCCCTCAAAGGACTCTCCACTAGTTGTGCTTTTTTTTTAGTACATTTTCTTAATTTGGTCATAACTCAATTGACTAAAGTACTAGATTCATAGTGTTTATGTTTTCTGTATAAATGATTTTTAATTTTTTAATTTCAATGAAGAATACTACATTTCCTCTTCTTTGTTAAGATAGGAAATACACTATCTTAACCACTAAACCAAAAAAAATTTGTGTGTGGAGACAACCAACCTTATTTCTACACCTTCTTGATCTTTCTGGATATCCTTAGCCCAAAAGTAAACCACAAAGTTCTTAATCTTAATGACAAAGTCATAATGTGGGTTCCATTTCAAATTCTCATCTAGTAGTTTTGCCACATTTCACAGTAATTATACATAGAATAATAGAAAAGCAGGATTAGGGTTTAAGAGACCCTTATATTTTGTTTGATAACCTTAATTAGTACAAAAAAATAAAGAAATTCCAAATAACACATATTATGAAATAAAATTATTATAAATAAATAGTTGCTTTTACTTTTGGAGTCCGTTTGTATGATAGAATTATAATTTGAAATTCTAATTGCAATTCTCATTTTTAAAAAAATTAAAATTCATTAAAAATCTTAATTTCAATGATTGAAATAAATAAAGGACTAAGTCGTATGAGCTTTGATGCTTAATTCAATACGTTGAAACAACATATTACAAAGTAGAATAAATTAGAACAAATGATTCTAACAAATTATGAATTTCATCAATGTAATATAAGTCTGAAAATTGAATAAATAACTGGTAAGTCGAGGTTTCTTAATTTTCATTGGTCAATGCATCAAAATAATTTTTTTTTCATACGTATTATTATGTTTATAAAAAATTAAATATTTTAAATCTAGTTTGAAGTTTGAACCGTCAAAATAATAAAGAACAAAGAACAATTAATTAGTACAATGTATAAAAAAAAAAATTAATAGTAATTAGTACAAAATAGTAATGATATTATATTAGAGCTATGATCACGAACGGATTTGGTGAAACGAATAACGAGATTTCGCATTCAATTATGGACTCCGCCTTTAATTTTCAGTTTAAAAATAAAAAATGAAATTTTAGAAAAGACAAAAAAAAAAACCTTCTCGTTGGTCTCGCGACATTTTAGCAATTTTGTATTTATGTTACTTTTTCATCTTAGCCTATAGCAAACGTTATTTGCAATTGCACGCAAATATACAATACAATTGTTTTTTATTAAATAATTGGATAATTTAAAAAAAAACTTTTTATTTTTATTTTTATCTTTACCTTGCCGTAGTTTAAAACACACTAATTCTTTATTTTTTTTTTGGAAAGTAAACACACAAAATTCTAATTATGGCAAACTGTCTGCAATATATGCAATTATGCAGATGCAGCTACGTAAACAAAAAAAAATAGATGAAAAAATTCTCTGTTTCCAGCAATAAATATATAAAATTGGAAAACACCACTGAGTTGTAAAATATCATAAAAACAAAAAAAGGAAAAAAGTTAAGGTGGGTGCTGCTGGGCTGACAGCATGCCATAATTCAGCAAGTGCAAGACAACATCTGAGTTTTATTATTATTTAGTTTTTGGATTCTTTTCTTACTAACTAATTTTATAGTTTTTTTAATTTTTTTTAAAGTATCGATTTTTTAATTTTTAAAAAAAAACTACAAACACAAAGGTTACAGGTTACAGACAACAATCACACACGCGCGCATACACACACGCGCGCACACACACACAGACACTCTCTCTCTCTAACCCATAATCTAATCACTCTTCACTGTCTCTCTCTCTCTCTCTATATGTTCTCCAATTTGATTCAAAAAAATTTCCATCTTTACACTCTTTCTTTCTCCTCTGATCTCTCTCACCACAAAGTTCACTGCTTTCTTTCTTTCTTTCTTTCTCTCTGCATTTTTCACCCAAAACCAATGAGATCCATTTTCTAAATAGAACACATCATCATTCTCTGTGTATGCAAAAAAAACCATAACCATAACCATGTCAGTGTACGATGCAGCTTTCGTTGACACAGAGCTCTCAAAACGCACCTCCATCTTCGGCCTCCGTCTCTGGGTCGTCATCGGAATCCTCGTCGGTTCCCTCATCGTCCTCACCCTCTTCCTCCTCTCTCTCTGCCTCACCTCCCGCCGCCGCAACAACAACAACCGCCACAACAACAAAAACAACAAGCTCCGCCACCCCACCGCCGCCGCCGCATCAGCCGCCACACCCGTCGTCTCCAAGGAAATCCAGGAGATCGTGCCGGCGCCGGCGGAGCACCGTGTGGTGGTGTACTCGGACAGGGTTTCGAGCGGGGAGAGTAAAACGGCGACGAGCGTGTGCGAAACGTCGTCGTCGTTGGGGAGTGGAAGCGTTGGGCCTGAAGTTTCGCATCTTGGGTGGGGAAGATGGTACACCTTAAGGGAACTTGAAGCTGCCACCAATGGATTGTGTGAGGAGAATGTGATTGGAGAAGGTGGCTATGGAATCGTGTATCGTGGGGTCCTCTTTGATGGCACCAAGGTTGCTGTTAAGAACCTTTTGAATAACAAGTATGTTTTCATGTTTCCATTTCACTTAATAATTATATGTTTTTTTTTTTTTTGAAGAAAAATGATATTTTTCTAAGATCTATAATTGCAGAGTAATACTTTTCTGTTGGGTTTGTTTATGTTCATGTTATTTGTCTCAACTTGGTCATTGTGAATTTGTGTAAAATTATAAGGTTTGATAGTCAATTGTGTAATGACTGTTCATGTATTGGTTTATATAAACTGGGTTTTTTTTTTTTAATTTGGTTGCCAGAGAATGAAATTTTCGTGGTATGTATGTAGGTAATCCTTTCATGATGCTTGTTTTATTTGATTTCAAAGAATTATATCAAAGTTGTTGCTTGAACAGTTGAACTAAACCAATGTTTATCTTGATCAGTGATTGGCTTTGTATTGTAAGCTGGTGTTTTCTTCTGTTTTACTCTAACTAGTGTTTTTTCTACTTTTTAACCATTTTTTTTTTTCTTCGTGTGTTATCCTTGTCTTCTATTGTTAGGTGTTGTGCTGTAAAGTGAGATATTTATGTTAAGGAAAGCATCATTTTTCTTTTCGGCCTGTTGTTTTCCTACTGCTGAATTGATAATTTGGTCAGTTGTTAGGAGTTTTGAAGTGTCTTAAATTGTTGGGTTTTTCTGTCTCGTTCTTTTTTTATTACTTACTGTTGCTATCTTGTATAGGTTCTATGGTCTCGTTTGTATTTGTCATTCTGCTAGAAGGAAGGGCTTAATGTTTAATTAATTTTCAGGGGCCAAGCTGAGAGAGAATTTAAAGTAGAGGTAGAAGCAATTGGTCGTGTGCGGCACAAGAATCTTGTTAGGTTGCTTGGATACTGTGTTGAGGGAGCATATAGGTATTTTTTTAATTTAAATTTGCTTATTTTAAACATTGAAGCTAAAAATTTTGTTTGGTTTGAAGAGATGTAAGATTTGAAGCTTGGATTTATATTACAGGATGCTTGTGTATGAATATGTTGACAATGGCAATCTGGAACAGTGGCTACATGGGGATGTTGGACCTGTAAGCCCTATGACATGGGAGATCCGAATGAACATTATATTGAGCACAGCAAAAGGGTACCATATTCCTGATCTAATCTGCGTAAATTTGTATCCGTGTTGATGCTTGGAAGGTTATGATTACAGTGATTTTTGTGTATCTTTTCAGATTGGCATATCTTCACGAGGGTCTTGAACCAAAAGTTGTCCACCGTGATGTGAAATCGAGCAATATACTCCTTGATCGCCAATGGAACTCGAAGGTTTCTGATTTTGGGCTTGCTAAGCTTTTGTATTCTGAGCATAGTTATGTCACTACTCGAGTGATGGGGACATTCGGGTTAGTATGATTTAACTAAGTATTTTTCTATCTTTCTTACCAACTAGAATTAGTTTCAGTTACTGTATGAGTGCAATGCCTTAGTAGTTAATAGTATTCTTAAATTTAAGGTCTACAGGCAGTGATTCTCTCCATTTCTCTTTCTGCAGTTATGTTGCACCAGAGTATGCTTGCACTGGAATGCTGACTGAGAAGAGTGATGTTTATAGCTTCGGGATACTAATCATGGAAGTAATTACTGGGAGAAGTCCTGTCGATTATAGTAGACCACAAGGAGAGGTTAGAGACCATCCCCATCACCAACACCAACACCAACACCAGTCAACAGTTTTCACTTTTCACATTGTTCTTTTTATACTTATCTATGGAGTTCTTTTTATTGCAGGTTAATTTAATAGAGTGGTTGAAAACTATGGTTGGGAGTCGAAAAGCTGAGGAGGTAGTTGATCCTAAGCTTCCTGAGAAGCCATCTTCAAAGGCTCTTAAACGTGCTCTATTGGTTTCTCTACGATGTGTTGATCCTGATGCGGCAAAGAGGCCTAAAATGGGACATGTGATCCACATGCTTGAGGCTGACGACCTCTTATTCCGTGATGTAAGTTCTTTTTTTTCTTTTCAAGCTTTAACTTGTCCAAAAACAAGACAGTTCAACATTGCTATAATCTGATACTTATCACTTTTTTTTTCCCCTCCTGTCTGTAGGATCGAAGGGTCGGGGGAGAATCTTCCCATTCCCATCATGATAATCAACAAGAGCATAAGGACTCAAGTTTAGTTAAAAAACCTATAGGTGGAGAAGAGATCACTGATCAAAGTGAAGATGATAGTAGTAGAAGTCACCATCAACCCACTAGGTGGAAATGATTGTAGTTTAATAATTGAATAGCAATGTGTTATATTATTTTTGGTCTTGGTGGTTTGCCAATATTTATTTCTACCTCTTATGAGGAAACAAGCAATTGTTTTTTTTTTTTCCTTCCTCTTATTTACATAGTTTGCCCCGTTGTCACCTACCTCAATTTGGGATTCATTTGTATACATCGATTCATTGTTATAAAAATCAAAATTATTTGTGTTTATAAGACAAAGCAGGGTAAGCGTTACATAAAATAGGTATTTTATATCCAAGTGTCAAAATATACTATCATATACCTTTGTCTCCTACATTTTGTTTTTAGCATTCCATCATGATCAGAAGATGAAGTACTTAGCACTTTGTGAGTGTAATTGGTGGGCCCTGGTAGATGCTCTTGAGCACTAAGCCTACCATCCAGCTATCTTGATAGAAATAATTTCATTGCATTAACATCAATGCCAACTTCATAGTTGGATGCTTGTTGGAAATGGACCTGCTGGCCAGCTAATCAAAATCAGCTGGATCTGCAACTTTTTTGCCATTTGGCTTAGATTTCCCTGATGGAGAATCATCAGTGGTGGAGCCTACTGGCCCCCCACAAATTCATACAAATATTTGTCTTAGATTATATTCAGAAAAGTTGTTATTTTTCTAGCTTTTGTCCTTGTTATTCTTCGTAGGAGGGTTCGCGGTCTGGATTGGATCGGTTTTGGAAGCAAAAATCATCCGATCCAATCCCTTCGGTTTGATCATATAATTATCCATTCGGTTTGGTTTTTTTTTTCAAATCCGATCCGATCCCATCCAAATTTTTTCGGTTTGGATTGGATCAGTTTTCGGTTTTTTGAAAATCTTAAAATTTATTTTATGATTATTGTGCAAATAACATCTTTTGTATATATTGGCTTTGTAAATTATTATTTTTTAAATACAAAAGCATTAGTAAATTATAATATAGTTTTTTTTTTCAATGAGATATGAAGCTCTACAAAGATAAAATTTTATTGATGAGATGTGACTAGATTTTTTCTTGGGTTTAGTTGATACCTAATGGGTTTTTGGTTTAGAAATTTTTGGGCTATGATTGGGGAAAGACCCAAGTAAGTAGAGGAGAATTAATATATTGAATCGGTTTGGATTGGATCGGTTTTCATCAACCCATCCAAAAATCGATCCAATCCAATTAAAATTTGCGATTTTTTTTCTGTTTTTGGTTTTTCGGTTTTCGGTTTATTCAGTTTTTGGTTTTTCGGTTCGGTCACTGTGGTTTGAATCGATTTGGATCGGTTGATGAACACCCCTAATTCTTCGTGTACGCAAAAAATTTGAATAATTTTTCAAATTTAGCTATGTATTGTTCATGTTGTTTTGCTTATGTTAGTGTGAATTTTGCTTAATTCGTTTCTGCTCGAAATTTTCTTGCATTTGAGAATCATGCAGTGAAACAAGGAACTCTACAGGATTTGGTCATGGGATTAGGTTTCACTATCAATGCCAGACTTGCCAGTACATGTTTTGTTCTTAGAAAGCTAGATAACCGGCACTGATAAGTAGCTGATTGTGAATGTGTATTGGGGACCCCTTTTTTGTCTCTTACTGCATTCTTCAATGGTTAGTTAATTTCTTATGACTTGACTGCGTTCCTCTTTGTGGGCTATAAGATTTTCATTTGCCTTTCATATGTAAATTTCTATGTACTTTGGAACCTGACATTGACTTGGTTTATTAATAATAACAACTAAGATAACTTTGTTAAATAAGGTATTTTACAAGCTACATTGAGTATTGACTTTTTTCTCTCTATTGTGGACCCTCCGAGAATAAACTAATATATATTTGTTTTTCCTGTTTTGATCTTTCTTGCTTTCTCATTTTTGTAACCTTTCATTCATATAAGGGGCACTCATACCAGAATCTTATCGTTTCCACTCTCCAAAATATCTAAGGAAATGTTAGTAGCGTAATTTAGAGATAAGCACCTTTTAGAGTTTTTTTTATCTCCAAAATCACTCTCTTCTAGAAAATGTTGTATACCCATTTGGTGCATGAACACAACTCTATCTAGTAGCTCAATTAACGTTAAATAATAACTCTTTTTGCTTCATAAATTGTTATATATTAAAATAAGGGTTTTTCTAACTGTATTTGATCAGGAATATAATATCAAAATTGCTTTCTTCATTTTAAAATAAATTTTGATTTAAATTTTAGAGAAGAGTTAATAAAGTCATTGAATGTCCTCAATTTTAGAGAAATAAAACTTTATTAAAATTTTCTCTCGTATCACTAAGCAGAGATATCAAAAGATAAAAATAATTATTTTTTTAAATAATGTCTCTTTGATTTTATAAATAACAAATAATATGCAACAAATTAAAATTTGAAAATTTACTATTGCTATTTGTCACACAATCATGTCTTCTTTGATCTTGCTGGAAAAAAAAGTCAACTTTTGTTTAAAGGAAACTACTTTGTTTCAATTTCCCGACAATACCATGGATTGTGGATTGAAAAAGCGTGCACTCATGTGATGTTCTTAATGGCTTTTTAATATATTGGCTTGTTGACGGACGAGGATCTTTGGTCATAAATGGCTTGTTCTTGGAATTTGGTGATTCATCGTTTCTAGTAAATTGAATCGAGGAAAATGATGGTTCAGCATATTTACTAGAGCAAGTATGTGTTAGAATTTAATCATTAAAAATAAAATATAAAAATTGTAAGAATTTTTTTTTTCAAAAGTTGTCGCAAACAATAGAGCAATGGTTGGTCCTTGCAAATGCGTGGGGTTGTCATGGGCATCTTAAATTTTGAGAATATGCTTGTGTTTAGTGTATTAGTATGTATGAAATGAGATATTTAGATATTTTTTTTTTTCATACTTTTCTATATGTTTAGACACGAATTTAATCATATACCAATGTAAAAGAGTTTTTCACTATTAGCAAATAAGAACTAAACTCAAAAATCCACATGTTATCCTACAAATTTTGACATGTTTTATGAATATTAAACAAGGGTTTTCGTTTTATCCTTTAACATAACACAACAAACTTTCTTATACTCACAACATTTTGTGGGGCCCACACTTTTTAAAACAAAAAAATAAATAAAAAATTAAGGCACGCAAAACGAATCTCTATAACATTACACAATCATTTTTCCTACAACATAACTCATTTTTCCTACAACATAACTCTTATAAAACCCATCAAGTTGAACTTTATTTTCTTAGGCTATTAAGTGCTGCAACTTGTTTGTACACGTGCTCAGCTACTTATCATATTTATTGGCATTGAGTAGTGGGAATGGACCAAATTTTATATAGTTTCTTACAAACACCATTGATTACAAAGCAATGTGTTCAAGAAATTACAGATTCATAGTGTTCTTTCACCATTATTATTTATAAAATTTGTTGAATAACATGACGTCCAAGAAATAATGCGTATCCTTGTCATTTTTCCCTATTAGTAGAAAGGGATACATGACTTTCTTGTGTGCTCTTTTTCTTCTGTGGAAATTGAACCTTTTTCAGGAAAAAGAAAAAAAAGTTGGTGGTATATGCTTTATTCAATTCAGACCCAGCCATTAACGCTGCTTATCTTTCAAGCCATACCACCTTTCAGAAAATGAATGTAATGACGTAGGTGCTTCTTTTCTCCAACTATAAGGAATCATACATGAAAACTTTAGGTACAAGATCATGTTTGTGTTCCAAATTAAGTTAATTTGGAACTTGAATATTGTTTCCGGAAACACGAAAAAAAGCACTTTTTGCTCTCGTATCGGTTTTTGGATTGAATTGATTTTTTTGAGTTATGGTGCAAAATATATAAAATTTGCAATCCATCGGATTCCGATTTGCATCTTTGGAATGCATACAGTGATTTATTTTTTTTGAATTTCTTAACATTAATGCATACATTTGTTATATAACATATTTCTCCCAAAATTTAAAAGATATAACATATACCTAATAGAGGGAAACTGGTCCTTAGTGGGCTTGGCCCTCAGTATGGTCCCTATTCTCTTTAGTGGTTTTGTTGGGTCTTTTTGGGACTTTGAGCCTCTTCATTTTGTGACTCTGATTCATTACAAATTTACAATCAAAATTTTCTTTCAGGGTGGGTTTGGTTTAGGGATTCTGATGAGATATATAAACATATGAGAAGTGGGATTATTGAGTGTCCATCTTTGGTTTAAGCATTTTGAAAATATGTCTACCTAAACAGAAAAGCCACCTTAATCATTTGCATAGACATTCGATGAAAATATGCAGCAAAATTTTCCCATTTGCAATGTGGTATTATATGTTATCTACCTAAATCATCACAATAGGCAATAATCTGATGACAAGCCTACCCTCCTATTTGTTGGGCAAGTGGCTTCTTACACAGGACGCTTACGGAACACCTAGAGGGGGGGTGAATAGGTGTTCTCAACTTTTTCAAAATCTTTTTGAATTCAGTAAACAATTACACAATTTTTCTTCAATCCCTATATGCCCAAAATAGTTTTTCGCAATGCTAAGAACAATGTAGTAACAGAAAGCGTACCTTAGCAATTATAGAGTATAAACGCAACAATTATAATAGAATTAGTGTAACTGTCAGTCTATAAACAAAATATTCAGAAATTAAACCAGAGAGACAATGGACACACGATATATCCTGGTTCACACCCACTAAGCCTAAGTAGGGTGCTACGTCCAGACTGAAGTAGCTGCAGATATTTTATTTATCACAAGTGTACCAGTTTTACAAACACGCGTCACACATGCAATCAAACAAAATACCAAAAATCTTCCTACTGCCTACACTGCTCCAAGCTCTGAGAATACTCTCAAGCCGAACCTAAGGAGTTCACCAACTCCTCTCACACAAGACCTCCACTCTCCCTAGTGGATTCTTGAGGCTCCAGGCCTTGAGACACACTCTCAAGCCAAGCACAAGGTCGCCAACCCACTCGGTTGCACCCACACACCTAGGACAGATTTGCAGCACACAACTACTCCACTTTAACAACCAATACAATATCTCAGATTTATAACAGAAAATTTTTCAACCTATTACAATGTCCTAGCACACTTGATATATCAGATAAAGCAGAACAACAAGCTCCAAAAATGATATGATGTATGCAGAAAATTTAGAGCACAAGTATGTGTATCACAAACTATA